CAACAATTACTTTAAACGACTTCTTCTTAACCACTGATTGGAATTTGACTTAATTTGACTTGAAGCATCCCAAGGTGGTAGGGATTCAAAACTGTACAAATGGTGGGGTTGACCTCCCATTGGGCTGAGGGGCTGGGCCAAAAGGGGGCAATTTGGCTATATTGCTATAAGCGACTCCTTCTCTGGAACTAACAAATGGATATCAACCATATTTGCCTGGAAGCATCCCTAGGTGGTGGGGATTCAAAATTGTACAAATGGTGGGGCTGATCCCTCATGGGGCTGAGGGGCGGGGCAAAAAGGGGGCAATTTGGCTATATTGCTATAAGCGACTTCTTCTCTGGAACTAAGAGATGGATATCAACCAGATTTGACTGGAAGCATCCCTAGGTGGTGGGGATTCAAAATTGTACAAATGGTGGGGTTGACCTCCCATGGAGCTGAGGGGCGTGGCCAAAAGGGGGCAATTAAGCTATATTGCTTTGAGCGACTCCTTCTCTGGAACTAAGAGATGAATATCAACCAGATTTGACTGGAAGCATCCCTAGGTGGTGGGGATTCAAAATTGTACAAATGGTGGAGCTGACCCCCCAGGGGCCTGAAGGGCGGGGCCAAAAAGGGGGAAATTTGGCTATATTGCTATAAGAGACTTCTTCTCTGGATCTAAGATATGAATATCAACCAGATTTGACTGGAAGCATCCCTAGGTGGTGGGGATTTAAAATTGTACAAATGGTGGAGCTGACCCCCCAGGGGACTGAAGGGCGGGGCCAAAAGGGGGCACTTTGGCTATATTCCTTTAAACGACTTCTTCTGTAGAGCTGTGCCATGGATATCGATCATATTTGGTAGGAAGCATTCAGCATTCATGGAAGGCAGGGATTCAAAATTGTACAAATGGTGGGGCTGACCCCCTCGGGCTAAGGGCTGGAGCCAAGAATAGTTTATTACTTGGAAATGGTTGAGATCCCTACTGTTTAACCATATATACAATTAATTGCTGAGTATAAAGAGAAGAATGCACATTTGCTTTCAGGATGGCTCTAGGGTCTGGCCCCAGTGTTGGAGACATAGTCCCTGGGTCATAACTTTGAAACGATTAAGATCCCCACCCCAAAACTTTACATACAAATGCTGGGCATATAGAGACGAATGCAGTCATGATATTAGAATAGACCTTAGGGTCTGACCGAACCCCCAAGGACCAAGTTTCTTAGTCACAGCTTGGAAACAGTTGAGATCCCCACCCTATAACCGTATATATACAATGGCTGAGTATAAAGAGATGAATGCACATATACTTCCAGGATGGCCTTGGGGTCCGCTCCACCCTTGGAGACTTAACCCCTGGGTCATAACTTCAAAATGGTTGAGATCCCCACCCCAAAAAAATAATCACAAATGCTGGGCATAAAGAGACAAATGTAATCATGATATTAAAATTTATGCTAGGGTCTGCCCAATCTTTGCAGACTTAACTCCTGGGTCATAACTTTGAAAGGGTTGAGATCCCCAACCCAAAACTTTAAATACAAATACTGGGCAAAAAGAGACGAATGCAGTCATGATATTGAAATTGATCCTGGGGTCTGGCCACAACCCTATGGACCTAGTTTCTGAGTCACAGCTTGGAAACAGTTGAGATCCCCACCCCATAACCATACATAAAATTGCAGAGATATCTAATACAGATATCAACTAGGATTGGCCTTGGGGTCTGGCATATATTCCCTTGGATCTCATTTGGAGAATATTTTGCCATGATTGTTTAGATATCCAGGTGAGCGATACAGGCCCTCTGGGCGTCGTGTTTCTTTCGGAGCCATTTTTTTCGCGGGAGGATTGGCATTGGATATTTTAATTTGTCTTATTTTACTATCATTTCCTTTTTTCTGAGATAAACAATATCAGTGATATCTTCCATTTCCATTTTATTAAAGTGACCTGATAAAAAGTGTTGGTTCAAAATTATGAAAGTGTTCTATTAGTGTCACCTTGAGCACACATTGAACAAATGATAATCACTTTGACGGGCAATGTGCTTGTAATACCCAGGGAGACCCCCTACTCGCTAACAAGTACATTTTTATATAGGTGCTTCCTTAGAAACAACAGCCACCAGAGACAATCACCCCGGGTAGCAGTTTACATGTAGAAGCATACAGTGGCCATGGGTGATATTTTTGTACAATGATGTATCAACATCTAAAAAAAAAAAAAAACTTAAATTGGCATATACATGATTGCTTAAAACGTCGTCTGTACATCAACAATGTGGGCTTCACATTTTAAAAAAAAATTGAATTTGGTTTGAGACTACATTTTTGGCCATTTACAAATCTGTGTTTTTACACAAAAAAAGCTAGCTTTTCATGTAGTCTATTTTTGTATTCGGCACATCTGTAAATATTGTGAAAAATCCATTTGGACGACCAATGCTGAAACGTGAGTATTTCTGTTTCCACGTAGGTGATATTTAATTTAAGACAGCTAGGGTTTAAGAAAAAAATAACAACTTGCGTGGGTCAAATTTTGGGTTAAACATTATGTTTGTTTGAATTTTTTGGCGTTTTTTGATGTGGTAACCATGGTTTTTACAAGTCCCAAATCTGGGGAAATCCCTTTTTGAAAAAAATAATTCTACTTAAAAAAACGTATTCAAAATGTAGTTTATGAATATATATATATATGTAGGTGTGTTCTGCAGTATGAATCCGCTATCCATGTTTATCTGAGACATGCCCTTTATTTTTAGGATCAAGCCATTTCTACTGTACTCTGCTACCTTAAATACACAGAAATTGAATTTTTCTGAAACAAAATGCCTTTTTATGCTTGATTCAGCTTCACTTTCATTCATGATTGCTTAAAACTACTCAAAAAATTACATGTATAGGTCAATATATAGGTCAATAGCCTATTGACCTATATATTGACCTATACATGTAATTTTTATCCACTTTCAATAAATGCAACTGTATGTATTAGTAACCATGGATACCGGGTGCTGACCTGAGTGAAACAAATTACCTGTGGATGTATAAAGGGGGGTAACTCACCCTTTTCACAGGCACTTCACAATTCATGACATATGTGTCAATTAGGTAATTGGTAAAGCTGATACCAAACAACAAATAATTCACAGGCTATCTCCTGAGGCATTCAGACTAGAGTTCAATCTGTTTCACTCAGGTCAGCACCCGGTATCCATGGTTACTAATACATACAGTTGCATTTATTGAAAATGGATAAAATATCTGTTTTCACTCTGATAACACTATTTTAGATGTTTTTTCCCCACTTCATTCAGCATACAGATTAAATTAGCAAGTTAGTAATGTCAACATTTTTTATTAGCTCACCTGGTCCGAAGGACCAAGATGAGCTTATGCCATACCGTGGCGTCCGTCGTCTCCGTTTCTCAATTGAAAGAATTTTTTAACTTGAACTGTCAGCTTTAAGGTTCCTTAATGCTAAACTACTCTATCAAAGCGAAAATGTTTGACACTAAATAGCATCAGGAAAAGTTCTACAGCATACTTTTCAGGAAGTTATCTAAAATATCCATGGCTTATAAGATCATATTTATTTATGTGTGATCGAATTCACCTGAATCATAATTTCCACTAGTCCCTCAAAATGGGAGTGATTAAAATTCGGATTTTTTTTTTAAAGTTTTCAGATGTTTTGTTACAAACCACATGATGATGAAGAACCAGAAACAGTCATGTGATCTCCCAGAAAGAGAGGGAAACTAGAGTAATCAAAGTTAACGTACTTTCCCCTAGTGGGTGAAAATAACATCCCTATAACCACGACTCTACTGCCATCAAAATGGCCACAGTCTGCAAAACATTCTCCGTGACATACTCTTACACTCTTCTTCCATTGGTCACACAAATTTATACCAATCTGAAAACAGAACATGGTTTCTATTATTTTTACAGCCATCATACTTTGTCATTTTAAATTTATCAGAGGTCAGATAAGTCACTAATTTCAGTATGAAATCACTCAAGAAAGTCACTCAGCACTCCAACGACTAGTCAATCAGTACTAAAAAACAAGCACTCATACTAGTCAATCAGTACTAAAAACAAGCACTCATACTAGTTAATCAGTACTAAAAAACAAGTACTCATACTAGTCTATCAGTATTAAAAAACAAGCGCTCAGACTAGTCAATCAGTACTGAAAAACAAGCACTCATACTAGTCTATCAGTACTAAAAAACAAGCGCTCATTATAGTCAATCAGTACTAAAAAACAAGTACTCATACTAGTCTATCAGTACTAAAAAACAAGCCCCCAAACTAGTCAATCAGTATTAGAAAACAAGCACTCATACTAGTTAATCAGTACTAAAAAACAAGCGCTCATACTAGTCAATCAGTACTAAAAACAAGCACTCATACTAGTCAATCAGTACTAAAAAACAAGCGCTCATACTAGTCAATCAGTACTAAAAAACAAGCACTCATACTAGTCAATCAGTACTAAAAAACAAGCGCTCATACTAGTCAATCAGTACTAAAAAACAAGCACTCATACTAGTCAATCAGTACTAAAAAACAAGCGCTCATACTAGTCAATCAGTACTAAAAAACAAGCGCTCATACTAGTCAATCAGTACTAAAAAACAAGCGCTCATTCTAGTCAATCAGTACTGAAAAACAAGCACTCATACTAGTCAATCAGTACTAAAAAACAAGCGCTCATACTAGTCAATCAGTACTAAAAAACAAGCGCTCAGGCAAGTCACTCATTACTCAAACAAGCACTCAGGCAAGTCACTCATTTCTCAAACAAGTATACAGGCAAGTCACTCATTACTCAAACAAGTATACAGGCAAGTCACACACTACTCAAACAAGTATACAGGCAAGTCACACACTTCTCAAACTAGTACTCTGGCAAGTCACTCACTATTCACATGAGTCATCAAAAAATAAACAGTGTTGTAAAACTATGTGGAATAAATCAGACTTATTTTGTTGTAGGAAAGCTGTGTTCTATTCTGCTGTTTGTATCAGTCTTGGTGTCACAGCCCTGTTGCCACTGTATCGTTGTGCTACCTGTCCCAAAACTACCGTCATGCCTGTGATCTTCTCCTGTCGTTGTATCCTTTGAGTTACATCACCATAGACTTTATGGTGGTCATCCATCTTTTTGTGTTATAAGCTCACCTGAACCAAGGTAAATGTATGGCATACTTTGATGTGTGTTGTTCATGGATCGTTCATCCATACACTTTTCTCTGAATCTTTTCTCAGAAGCTATGAAGTCAATTACATCCAAGTTTAATAAGATGTATTCCGAGGGGATGATGATTCAGATTTGTGAAGGAGAAGTCCTTCTCGGAGCACATTCGGGGCAAAAAAGGGTAAAATTTGAGGTATCAGATCGGACAATTTTAATATTTATTATACAGTACCTTTAGTGAAATGACCAAAATGTACAAAGGAAAACAAATCCTGTTCATAACCACTAGGTGGGCGAACGATTGTAAAGTATTTGAATGTTTAAAACACTCAAATCTCTTTCTCTGAAGAAGCAAAGGGGTTGGAAATTGATAACTGTTAATTTCATTCAAGGTTGCCTGGTAAAATCTGTAAAAAGAATCAAACCTTTTTTTCTGAAACATAAAACTGCCTAATGTCATGATATATGGCCAGTAGCTTAATTGCTGGTTATGAGTGCTACAAAATGTGAGAAAAAAAAACATCTTGACTAATATTCAAGGCCATATGGGTCAAATCTGTTGAAGCACTCAAACAGCTTTATTAAAAGTCAGGACAAAAGGCGATCGCAATAAACCTTTGTCTCAGGTGACCTATTGCGATCGCCTTTTGTCCGGCGTCCATCGTGCGTCCGTAAACAATTTACATTTTCGACTTCTTCTTCAAAACCCCTGAACCAATTTCAATGAAATTTTGCAGAAACCTTCCATGGCCAAATGTCAACAAAATTAGTGGCCGATTTGGTCCCCAGCCCCCAGGGGCCTGAGGGGCAGGGCCAAAAAGGGTTGAATTGACTGAAATTTCAAAAAATATTCTTCTCAAGACCCAGATATGGTAGAATCAAACACTCTTCATAGATGGAAGGGTCTTAAGGTGCTCTACAAAAATTGTGAATTTTAAATTTTATGACCCTGGTCAATGTTTCCCCCTGGGGAGGGGGTAAACTTTACTATAGTTTATATAGGGAAATCACGTTTTGGACTTACATTGGAAGTAATTCAATTTGGGTTAGCATTATAAGTATTGGGTAGCAGTTGATGGTATGCACATATGACCCCTGTCTGACCCCCCGGGGCTGATGGGTGGGGCCAAAAAGGGTCAAATTGACTGAAATTTCAAAAATCTTCCTCTCACGACCAAGATATGATAGAATCAAATGCTCTTCATAGATGGAAAAGGTTTAAGGTTTAAGGTGCTTTACCAAAATTGTGAATTCCTTGACCCTGGGGTCTCACATTAATCCCCTGGTGAGGGGGTAAATTTTACTATAGTTTATATAGGGAAATCACATTTTGGACCAACATTGGAAGTAATTAATTGGGGTTAGCATTATCAGTATTGGTTAGCAGTTTGATGGTATGTCACAAGAGTTAATTTTGTTAAACAACGAAACAAATTATACTGACCAAGAGGCCAAGGGTGATATATGGTTGTGAGCATGCTGAAAAGAACAGACACCAAACTTGTTAAAAATGAATTATCATGACCTGCTTCCGAGATCACAGGTTAAAAATTTAATCAACTTCTGAATGAAAAGATGCCTCAGGTCATATTATATAGTATATAACGTGATGTGATGCCCTGCCCTTGGAGACTAACTCCCTTTGTCATAACATGGAAACAGTTGATATCCAGATCCTTTAACCATTTATTTAATTGCTATTCATTAAAAGACAAACACACCTATCTACTAAGATTGCCTCTTCTTCTGGGACCAGGTACATGTTATAGTTCTTGTACTCTTTTAACTCCCTATTATAGCCTTGACTCCTGACTAGTGGTGACCTTGAGGTAACTGTTGACTTCCTGAAAGAGATTGACAAATTAGTCCAGCTGATAGAATCTCCGATATTTGCATGTAAGTATTGACAATAGATTACCATGATTGCACCATTTAAGAGGTCAAATGTAGACTCACATATAGTTTGTTTTTGTGATTCCATGATATATCATAAAAATAAAAGGACGTAAGTGAGCTTATGTTATTCCATGGTGTCTGCAATCTGCCCATTTGTCTTTCTGCAATCTGTTTGTCTGTCTGTCTCTCTCTCTGTCAGTCAACAATTTCTTCCAATGATAACTTCTGATGATAATTTAACCAAACTTTACTGGAATTACCCTTAGGTGGTGGGGATTCAAAATTGCACAAATAAGTTGGCTGACCCTTGGGAGAGGGGGGTGAGGGGCAGGACAATGATAAGGAAATTTGGCAAAATTGCGTAAAGTGACTTCTTCTCTGGAACTAAGTGATATATATAGACAATATTTAGTTTGAAGCATTTTTCGGTGGTGGGGCATCAAATTGCGCGAATAAAGGGGCTTACCCCCAGGGGTCTGAAGGGTATAGCCAAAAAGGGGTTATTTGGCAATGTTGTTTTTAGGTTGGAAGTATCTCTGATTAGGAGGAAGGGATTCAAAATTGTACAAATGGAGGGGCTGACATCCTTCTCCCTGGGGGTGATTAGTGGTTGGGTCAAAAGGGTTATTTAGCTTTAAACAACTTCTCCTTTGGAATTATGAGGTTGATATCAGTCATATTTGGTTGGAATCATCCTCAGGTGGTGGGGATTCAGAATTGTGCCGATTGAAGGGCTGACCCTAGGGCTGAGGGGTATAAAAAGATATTTTATAGCTTGGAAGTGGTCAAGATTCCCACCAAGTAACTATTTATGCAATTGCTGCGTTTAAAGAGACAGATACACATATGCTACCAAGATGGTTCCAGGGTCTGGCCCCACCTCTTTCGATGTAGTTCCTGGTTCATATTTTTGAAACAATTGAGATCACCACCCTATAAACATATATATATATTTGTACTGAGAAAGAAAGACAAATACAGTTATTAAAACAACAGGACCAAAATAATGAAGAAATTACTATACTTAAATATTAACTTGAAGATTTATACTGTTATGCAGTACAGGTGTGCAAGTTGGATCACGATTTAAGTGGTTGGAGGAAGGAGAAAAATACAAACAAAATGTTTCCTTTCGCTAGAAAAAGACAAGTTAAAAATATCTTAAGTAAATATCAAGTCAAAGGGTTGGAATGAAAGAAATTGAATTCTATGTAAACTTTTATAACTTAAAAAAAACAACTGAAGAAGAATTTCATATCAGTAATAATTAACAGAACTTAACTATGCATCTTCAATACCTTCACCCATCTTTGTAGCCAAAAAACAAAGGATTAAAAATATTCCGCCATCCCTATCCCCACATGACCCATATCTCGATGATAGAGACACAGAGTGTTCTCCCTTCCTCTTCCTTTAATGACGCCTGCACTGTGCTAATGGCCTGTGGCTGGCTCCATATCAGAACGATTTTCTGAACGTTTGGTTTGCTTTCCCTGTCATTTTGTGCTGTTGGTGTGCTGATATCCCATCTGCCCTTGTGTATAACTCATTTATTTTACTAATTGTTATAATTGTGCCTTTTTCGGCCAGTTTGTGTACTGCACTTGTCGGGTCATGGTGTGCCACGTGGTCCGCCATAATCAATTATTTTTTTAGACAGCAGCTTGTACATTTCCTTTCATTGTTGATTTCAGTTCTGCTGTCTGTTTCATTTGTTTGTTTCCTACATTACTGTTAATTTCTGTTGATTGCATTCTACTGTTGTAGGGGTTTTTTTTGCTTCGTGTTTATTTGTATAATTTATCTCATCCGGGACAGGGACGGGGATCTGTGCATGGTTGCTCGTTCTTCTTTGGGGAGCGCGATCCCCATGACCCCTGCCCCCAGTGTCGCCATTGTTCTGAGGAGTCTCCCAGTTAACTTTGTTCTCAGGCTTCTCCTCAGGACAAGGCCTCCCATGCTCCGAAGCGTCCCTACGCTTCACGTAAGATGAACCTGTCCAGTTCCACTGGGAGGCAAGGGAGACAGAAAGGTAAGAGTACTTCTGCCGGCTGCTTGGAGTCCGACAGAACGGTTCCGGGGGGTCTCGTTTCGGCGAATCCCTCCTGTGCACAGGGGGTGGTCCCTCCTATCCAGGATCTCCCTGGAATTGACCGGGAATGCCTGTAAGTGTTGGAGGTTGCCTTCTAGTATGGACTACCCGTTGCTGGTCATTGACCCCATCAATGATCACAGCATTCCAGGTCACAGGTATTGTCGTTGGGGATGGCGTTGGTGGAAGGAAGTCACGGAGATCGCATGGGCCTTGTCTGTGGTCTTGGATGTGCTGGGTATTTCACTGTTACAGGATCCTCCCTTGTTATTAGAGCCAATTTTCTTTCCACCACCAGGGGATCGAGAAAAGGCCCTGCCCTTACCTTCATCAGCAGGTCTCGGGGTCAGGTGTGTTGGTTTCTGAGTTACTCAATGCCCTCGCAGATGTGGTTCCTTTAGGGAGACTTCACAACAGGGTTCTCCAGATGTTTCTCCTAGCCAATTGAGTCCCTTCTTCATGGGATTGGGAAGATTGGCTTCCTCTGAACCAGTCAGTCAATGAGCTCGCTTGCTGGTAGACCATTCAGGAAAATGTTATTCAGGGGGTCCTTTGTCCAAGCCAGCTCCCACTATGATCCTGTACACAGATGCATCAATGACAGGTTGGGGGGCTTACCTCGATGGACATGCTTGGTTTCAGTGTGCCCGAGATGAGGGCTGTTCTGTTGGCTCTGTAGTCTCTTCTGGAGTTCCTGCATTCCAAGGTGGTTTGTGTGGCTACCGACAACTCTACAAATCTACAGTTGTTGCGTATCTAGAGAGATGGGGGGGGGGGAACAATGTCTTACATCCTGTGTGCCTTCGCTATCCGTGTTCTTCTTTGCCAGGAGGTGCAACTTACAATTTGTGTCAAGCATCTTCCAGGCAGGTTGAATTTTTTCTGGGGATACTCTTTCCGGGCACTGCCAGTCGGTTATGACAGAATAGCAACTGAATCCTTCGATTTTCAAGGGAAAGGTGTGGGACAGGCCTCACATAGACTTGTTTGCGACTGCCCTAAACAATCAGTTGCCAACTTTCGTCTCTCTGATTCTAGATCTGAAGGCTCGGGCCTTGGATGCTCTGTCTCTGGCTGGGAGGGGATGCATGCATATGTGTTTCTTCCTTTCAACCTGGTGGGCAGTGGTCTACAGAAGTTTCGGGAGCATCCTTGCTCGCTTCTGATAGCGCCCCTGTGGCCGAGGCAGCATTGGTATTCAGAGTTGTTGTCGTTCCTGGTGGAAGAGCCCTTGATTCTCCCTCTCAGGTTAAATCTCCTGCGGCAGCCTCGGTCAGAACGATGCACTCTCATCCGGAGATCCTCCACTTTCACAAGTGGAGGCTTTCTCAAGAGGCCTCGCTCAGGCGGGCTTTTCTCAAGACGTACCAGGTCGCATCATACGATTAATTAGGTCTTCCTCTTCTAACGTCTTCCAGTCCAGATAGAAGATTTACTATGATTGGTGTGTCGATCGGCAGGAAGGTTGATGTGATCAAGGCAGCTGTCCAGGTAATTGCTGATTTCCTGTTGTGGTTTTTCAGGGATCGCAATCTTGCCCCTGGCACTATCGTGGGGTACGTACCGCTAATTGCTAGTGTTCTTATATCTTCCTTACTTTCTGCCTTGATTAGAGGATTTGCTTTAGACAGGCCTACGGTTCGGCAGCTTGCACCACAGTGGAATCTTGCTTTGGTGCTCGAATCATTGATGCAGTACCCCGTGAGCCTTTAGCGTTTGCCTCTTGAAATTTGTCACATTCAAGGCGGTGTTTCCTATTGCCTTGGCCTCAGGACATAGGAGGAGCGAGATTCATGTCTTGTCTTCTCATCCTTGTCTCCGGTGGTCTAGGAATTATGCTGCTGTTACTCTTCTCACTGATCCAGCCTTCATGGCTTAGAATCAGGTTCCTGGCTTTTTTACCCGAACTATTAAGATCCCATCCTTGACTACCCTTGTTGGGTCTGGAGAGCGGGATAGGTTGCTCTGCCTCTGTAGGGGGCTGCACTTTCACCTCGATAAAACTAAGGGGAGGGGAGGGGGACGAGGTCCTCGATCTGTTTTGACCTTTGAACAGGGTCAGCAGGATATCTCCTCTCAGTCTGTGTCCAGGTAGGCCTTTCACGAAGTCATGTCCGCTGTTTTCTGGCACAGACAGACTACTTTCACGGATTTCTATCTTTCGTCCTTGGTGTCTCATTTCGATGATCTGTATTCCCTCAGTCCGTTGGTGGTGGCACAGTCTATTGCCTTCCCAGTAATTCTGAGAATGGCCGATTTAATCAGTATGCCTTCTCGTTTCACCTGGAGGTATTTCTTTAAAATATTTCGTGGCTTTTGGGGGTTCCTTGAGCCTTCCCCCTCCCCCTCCACTATGTTAAGAGGAAATATGCATACTAAAGTTATGGTAATTATTACTGAGGTTTTTATGTAAAACCAATTTTTATGATGTAATACAATAACACATAAAAAGGATTCGATACAATAGATTGGAAAGACCTTGTGAAAAGATTCAAGTCATGTTGGATACATTACAGGGATTTTAGTAGCCATTTAGTAAATAGATAAAAACATTACAAAACTAGGAGTAAGATCAGAAATAATGGTTGGACAAATCAGCCCTAGTATAAAACAACACTCATATTTGTTTTAACACTTGAAATTATAGCAAACAGGTTGCGTCAATAAAAGGGAATTTGGAAACCTTGACTTGTCTGTCCTCACATTTAAATATGGAAAGTAGCAAAAGTCGTGCCTCTTTTTAATAAGATTAATAGGCACTCTCTATCTAATTATCGGCCAATCTCTCTTCTGTCTATTGTCGGTAAAGTATTAGAAATGGTCATTTTTAAGCACTTGCATAATTTTTGTTTTGAAAATGCTTTATTTTATCAGTACCAAGCAGGCTTTATGCCTGGTCATTCAACAATTTATAAACTAATAGAAATATATCACAACATTTGTTTAGATCAAGAAGAAAAGAAACATGCTTGTGTGATATTCTGTGACATTTCTAAAAAGTCTTCGACAGAGTCTGGCATAAAGGTCTACTGGTCAAGTTAAAATCATATGGTATTTCAGGTGACTTCTTGTCCTGGATAAAAGAAACTACTGAGTAATAGACAACAGGAAGTATTTATAAATAGTTCGTCCTCTGATGTTGGTATGATTGAGTTCCCCAGGGCTCAATTCTCGGGCCTCTTCTTTTTGTTATTTATATAAATGATATAGCTGATGAACTAGAATCAACAGCACATCTATTTTCTGATGATACTTCTCTCAAAAAATCTTCTTGGGGTCTAGAAATAGAATTAATTTTTACTCAAGATTTAGAAAAATTATATAAGTGGGCAAAAATCTAGCTTGTTGCTCCAAACAAAACTGAGGTTGTTTTTATATCAAATTCAGATAATATTTATGAAGATCTTGACTTATTTTTTTATGGAAATTTTCCGAATTTCAGTAGTTTGCATAGACATCTTGGAGTCGTTTTTAATTCAGATGGAAAATTATCTGATCACATTGATGAAATCTATAAACTAGTAATGAAAAAAAATGTCATGTATACTACCTGTTCTCGAATATGCATGTGAGGTTTTGGATGGATGCTCTCAAGTAGATTCAGAAAAGATAGAGCGGGCTCAGCGTGAAGCAGCAAGAATAATTACTGGATTACCATCTTAAGCCAAAAATGAATCTTTATAGATCAAATCAGAATTAGAAATACTTTCGGATAGAAGAGTTAGAAGAAAATGAAAATGACTCCAAGCTATCTATCATATCTATTACCCCCTCAGTAGGTGAAAACAATACATATGCTTTAAGAAGTAAAGACAACTATAGAATTCGAAATTATCGACTTTCTACTACAAAAAGTCTTTCTTACCTTCTACATTAAATAACTGGAACACTTCAGATGATAATATTAAATTTCTGCCTCTCCCATCTATTAAACTAGCCCTATCCTAACATACATTATGTATTCGCACACGTCAGCCCTGTTTCTATATGGATGGTGAAAGAAAAATAAATATTTTACATACTAGACTAAGACATGGTAGTCTAGTGGTAGGACGCTGGGCTCGTGATCGAAGGGTTGCGGGTTCGAGTCACGGCACGGCACTGTGTTATCTTTGAGCAAGATACTTTAATCCGCTTTTTCCAGTCTACTCAGCTGTAAATGAATACATGGTTGGGCAGTGCTAGAATTGTTGAATGCTAGCTGTCAGTGCCGAAATGGCAGCTCCGACTGTATGCTCCCCAGGGAGTTGAGAAAGATATTGGCTGGTTGCAAAGGCTCTATAACCATGGATAATAATTTGTGAACCGCTTTGAGATGACCTACGAACCAGGTTGTGATAAAGCGGTATATAAGAACCTCAAATTTTTATTATTATTATCAATGTAGCTCTCTTAAAGATGATCTCTTCCGTGTTAATTTAGTTCAGGATTCCAATTGTGGGCACCATTGTTAAAATGCTTATCATTTCTTTTTTGAGTGCCAATTTTATACAAATGCTCGTGCAGTAATGCTTCAAGCTTTTGCTAACATGAATATGCAAATAAGCTTCAATGAAAACATGGCTTTGGATGTAAATTGTAATGTATTCGAGAACATGTGAAGTCCTTTATAAAATCAAGCGGATGACTCCTTTCAATTGTTGAATTTGAAATTAATTGTGTATGCATCACTTATCACTTGTATCCATATTTGTTGATGGGGGGGGGGGGGGGGGGGGAATCTTTGAAATCCTTCTTCTGTGACACTAGATTAGTCAGTTAATTTGTCATCATGTCGCCATTCAAATCACCCAGCATCCTTGGTCCGTGCGTGTGTCTGTCGTCCATTCTTAACAATTCTTGGTATAATTTTTTCCCAGAAAATATTATAAGAATCTTTATCAAATTTATTATGTAAATTCCCCTTGGTACCTCATTCTGCATATATACAATTGAAAATGATTGGCGGCCATCTTGAATTTTGACAGTTAAGGTTTGTTATAGCTATTTCATAGAAAGTTTTTGGAGGACCAATTAATTTATGCTGAATCGTTAAATTAATCGTGAGCTGCTATGCAACATCTCCTTTTAATGAAAGTTGGTCTGATGCATCTATTGGCCAAGGGGTCTCAATGTTCTATAAGTGTATGGGTTGGTTTCATGTGGAAATAGACTTCATGTTTAGCTCACTCGGCTGGTCCATTATGTCATTGTGTGGCATCCGTCATCCATCTGGTGTCAAGTTTTCCCTTAAACAACTTCTTCTCAATTACCAACACACTTAGGATGATGATATCACGCCAGTAACATAACAAATGTTGCTAAAACTTAGTGCAAAAGACCCTGTCCATGTCCTGTTGCTATTTTCTGGGCTAAATGAAATTCAAACTGTTCTCTTGGCTCTTCATTGATTTAGAACTATTTTACTCTGATAAGAACAGTTCTGCTCAGTTTCTCTTGGGCCACTTTTAACAAAAATATGCAAATACTCCTCTCATGGCCACCAAAATCAAAAATGTTAAAACTATTTTCCAATTGGCTGCAACTAAACTGGGCCTACAGTAATAAAACTGTCACTAAATTTTAGCAGATCATAAACATAACAAAAAATAATCCAGTAATTGCCCTTAGTAAGTGTTCTCATTTGAATTCTTTGGATCAATAAGAAATCTGATATGCCTTTTATTGTGTCAAGTTTGCCGAAATATTTCAATTTCATGTCATTTAGGTAATAAAACAAACAAAAGAATGATGCAGGCAAGATGGGCCTTCTGTTATGCTAAAATAATCAATCAAACCTGAAATAAAACCTACATGTTATAATCCCTGTCTCTGGTCAGACCTACGGCTACAGCTGCTGGAGAACAACCAAGAGCTCATCAAGAGCCTGTATGGACTGCTCATGTTACTACCCCAGTCTGAGGCCTTCAAACTGCTGCGGTACCGTCTAGACTGTATACCCCACTATCAACTAGCCACCGTCAATGAAAAGTAAGTTACAAGTGTGTCACAATACAACTATTAATGCTATTAACTCATTAGAAATACTTTATTACATTAAAGGAAATATTTGTTGTCTGTTTCTTATATAAATGAAATTGTAGTTTACGTGTATTGATAAATGGTGTATCAGGACAGGATTGTTTTCTGATGGTGTGGATATATAATTTAAAGCTTAGTTTTTTAGCCTTGAACTTTTTTAAGTATTCAAATCACCATCGTCGTCACCCGTCGTCCATCCATTCATCATTCCATCCCTCTGTCCTTAAACAGTTCTTGAGTTGGTGAAGGATCCTTTTCAAGTTAACATGAAGATTCCATATGTTCCGTATTTATGTATATCAAATTTTGGGTCTGTTCTGAAAACCAACAGGTGGCCATCTTGAATTTGGAAAGTTAGTTTGTTAGCACTATTTCTCAGAGAGTACTGGAGGCATCCTTCCTCAAATTTCATGTGAATGTTCTCCATGTTTTTTTGTTACACATATTAAATTTTGAGTTTGATCAGAAATCCAAAATGGCTGACAAACAGCCATCGCGGATTTTGAGAGTTAAAGTTTGTAAAGTGCTATTTTTCAGAGTAATAGAGCGCTCATTCACAAATTTCACATGAGGATTCCCCATGGTTCTTCATTTCGTAAATCAACTTTTTGGTGGCTAACTGGCAGCCTGTATTGAATTTTGAGAGTTAGAGTTTGTCTGCAGTATTTTGCGGAAAGTGATGTAGGAAACTTTCTCAAATTTTATATGTAAGTTCCCTTTGGTCTTCAGTTATGCATGGTTACTTTTGAGAATTCAACCCATATCGACAGTATGTCTAATTATGTAAGAAACTTTTTTTTTAGCATTTTGCATATAGTGATGTATTTCTTATAAAATAATATTGATGATGTAAGTCCCCCCCTCCCCAGGGGGGAGAAGGATGTGGCCCAATAAGGGAATTAGAGATAAATCAATAAAATTTATTCAATCAATATGAATTAAGGAATTCTTCCCCACCCTATAACCAAATATAAAGGGTGAAATATTAAGGCCCCTTGGCCGCTTGTTGTAATATTTCTATTAAGCAGATTTTTGCAATGACTGTTAACATATCCAGGTGGGTGATACAGGACCTCTGAGCATCTGAAAGAAGCTTTGCATTGCTTAACTGGATATTTCTATTAAACAAATACATTTATTTTAGCATCAAACATAAAATACGTTGAATGAATATATTTCCAGGCTCAAGGGGAAAGCCCAACAAGATCAGCGCCCTCTAGTGTCAAAGATCAACTTTCCAGATCTCCTCAAACATTTTCAGAAAGTCCAGGAAAAGCATCGAGAGGCTCGCCGTAAAATGGCTTTCAAAGGGAGAATGATGGGGCACGTACAATGATGGTACAATGATGGGAAACGTACAATGATGGTACAATGATGGGGCACGTACAATGATGGTACAATGATGGGGCACGTCCAATGATGGGGCACGTACGATGATGCATTGATCAAATTACGTTTCACAGAGTATGTGTATGATTTCCTAATGAGTCCATGCAAAGCACCGGTATGGTCAAGCCATACTTATTTTAATCATAATTAAGCTATTAAGCAAGGACTCTCTAAGTGTTGATTTAAATAGCTACAGTACAAAAAAATTGACATTTGCCATATGTGAAAAAGAAGGTGTTCGTTTTCAAAGAAAAACCTACTTGTACCTGTGTATGACTGTCTACAAATAAACTATATATAAGAATTACAAGTAGATTTGAAGTGTTACCAAAAGGGTGGGTTGTAAATTTGGGGCTTCTGGTGGCTATCACTAATAAGTTTTGTTTTGTATATCCTGTGACCTTCAAAATAGGTCAAGATCATTCATTTAGTCTAACTTTCTAGCTCTTCACCCCAGCATGCTACTGGCCAAATATCATCTCTTTTGATATTTTGGTTATTAAGAAGAAGTCATTTAAATAATTTAACATATTCAACACCTTTCACCATGAAAGTAGGTCAAGGTCAATAATTTGTCATGATATAATTTGAACACATTTGGTAGACTGTACTTCGGGCATGTTACATGCCATTTAACATCACTCTATACATTTTGTTATTGAGAAGAACTTCATCCAAGCATGCTACATGTACTAGCCAAACATCACCACTTTATTGTCTTTATCCGTTATAGAGAACAAATTGTTTTAAAAAGGGTCAAGGTCATTCATTTCAACAAACCTCATTCCAGCATGCCACTGGTCAAATATCATCACCTTAGGTCTCTTTGTTATTTTTTTTCATTTAACGTATTGGAAAACGTTGACACTGGATGGACGAAAGACGCCGCACCATGGCAAAAACTCACTTGCCTCTTTGGGTATTTGAGTTTAAAACATGTGTGAACGCATTTCCAGGAAAACCTTATGTCATATAAAAAGATTGAACATTTTAAGTTCATAGAATTGGGATTACACAGCAAATCAATAAATGGATATCGTGCACATTTGGAAATAGTTAGTGCCTATATTTATATGTAATCATAACTTGCAGAGATTGACCCCAAGATACATTTAGTTTCAAAACAACAACAATCCACCTATCGAAATGTCTCGAAGTCAGTAAGTTCCTTTTGTTTGTTAGACCACCTGGCCTGAAGGTGAAAACAACTTCTTCTGAGTGACCAAAAGGCCAAGTTTGTTCAAATGATTGACCTTTATTCAAGACCGCAGCGGTCAAATGTCTTAAAAAAACCTCTCAAAAACTTTTCAATAACAAAACGACCCAGGGTGATGATATTTGGCATGAAGCATGTAGGAATGAAGGGGTATTAAGTGTTCATTTGAATGACCTTCACTGATATTCAAGGTCAAAGGGGTCAAATGTCTTAATAAAGCTTAAAACATGACCATGGTGATGATTATATCTAGCCAGAAACATGACCATGGTGATGATTATATCTAGCCAGAAACATGACCATGGTGATGATTATGTCTAGCCAGAAACATGACCATGGTGATGATTATATCTAGCCAGAAACATGACCATGGTGATGATTATATCTAGCCAGAAACATGACCATGGTGAAGGGTTACCAAGTTTGTTCAAATGAATGACTTTCAACCATATTCAAGGCTACAGAGGTCAATTATGTTGAAATATTTCAACAACATCTTGTCAATAACCGAAACGCCCAGGGTGGTGATATTTGAATAGTAAATACAGGGATGAAGGGCTACTAAGTTTTATCAAAAGAAGTACCTTGACTCATATTCAAGGTCATAGAGGTCAAAGAAGTTTTAAAAGAAACAGCTTCTCAATAACCAAATTGAATATTGTTGTGATATTTGGCCAGTAGCCTACTCAGATGATGAGCTGTAAAGTTTGTTCATGTGAATTGCTTTTACTTACATTCAAGGTCACATAAGGCCAAATGTGTATAAACTTTTAAATAATCCTCTCGATAAACAAAAGGTCTAGGGTAGTGATATTTTGCAAGTTGCATGCTGAGATGAAAGGCTATAATATATGTTCAACTTAATGGCCTTGTTAGACTTTCAAGGTCACAGGGGTCAAATATGTTTAAATCTGTTATCAGAATTTTTTAATGACACTGAGTCATAGATGCTGAAATTTTGCCCTTAGGTTTAGCTTTTAGTCCAGCTTTAAAGTTAAAAGTGTGAGGTTAATACCAGATGAGCAGCTCTTGTTAATATAAACTCCTATTTACATAATTCATTTTCAATGCAATTAAGTTCTTTTTACACAATCAATAAAATTGGTTGTGTAAAAAGAACAGTTCATCATAATCCATACTTACCAACCTGAATAAAATGTTCAGAAAGGGACTATTTCGAGCTATCTTAAATTTATATAGGAGCCTGCCCCCTCAAAACCTTTGTTTCAGAAGTGCTACCAGATTTATGCTGCTGTTTTAATTATTTTCAATCCTTTAAACATCCGTTGTTATTACTTTGAATGACTCTACTAATTATTTAGATGTTTAATTAACCTTATTACAGCAGGGGGTAAGAAAAATGGAATATTCGCCTGAGAGTATTTTTCTGGAACCCCCCCCCCCCGTTTTTTGCATCGTAATACTTAGGAAAGAACATTTTCTTTCATATAGTGATTTAATAATGTATTTATCATACAGAATGTGAGTTTAATCGAACATTTTGTGAAAATTTAATGTAAAATCTAGGAATTATCAATATAATTATTCTTGTTTACCAAAAGTTTTCATAGTACGAGGAAGTGGTGTTACTTAAAATATGTATGCAAAAAATCAGTCCAAAAAACGTGGTGGAAAGTATTCATTTTGAATAACAAAGTACCCTATGTACCCAAAAAGGTGAGGGACTAAGACACCTCCCTGGCGTCCACCAAAAGGAATGTACCTGATTACAGGTAATTGGTAATGAAATCCGTTGCAAGCCTACAATAAACCTTTAAGTGCATGTTAGGTAACAACAAATTCCAAATTCAAATATGCTTCATCACATGGATGATTGATAAAGTTTTTGTTTCTAATCAATCTAAGATCAAATGTACTATCCGTGTCACTTTTTAGAATTTGTTCTTATACATTTGATCATCAGACTTTCGTTTTTACATTGCTTTTAGGGGATATTTCATACTCATTTGTTAATTTTCGCAAAATCTCGTAAATGTAAAGGTACACAAAATGCAAAAATAAATCGATAATATAAATATATGGTTTTTGGTTTTACTGACTAAAAGTAGCATAAATTGCTCAAATGAAGAAGTTAGTATTTGTTGGAAGTGCTACATAAGGTATCTGCGCAAAAGAGAATCTGAAAAAGAACGTTTTGAAGATAAAACTACTAGAAGTTTTCCTCTCCTAACAATCAAGGACTTATGTTTTACGGGTCCTGTTCACATAAAAAAGTGTTTTCTTTGTTTGAACAATTTTAATTCGAAGGAAAGCAAATCCACAATTCTGCAAAAACGTGCCATGTCATAACACCGGATCATAATTACAAATAAAAATAAGATAAGTTATCGAATCTAGAAAACGTAAAAAGAAATAATACAAGTAATATGACGAAAGCTATAATATATATTAAGATATGGTTTGATTGTATATAACAATTATAGCAGGAGACCAACCTTGTCCAATATGATATGAATACTAATCAAATTAACCATTTTCGATGTGCAAACTGTGGACAGGAAAGGATCGGTCAGCCATCCAGCTACAGACAAGTTCCGCTGTCAGGATATCTGAGATCCAGTTGAGCATGGATGGGATATAACAGTAACACACTTCCTCACACACACAATTTACATAGGAAAAAACACGTTGGAAATTGGGACGCTGGAAAACAAAGGCCCTGAGAGAGCTGCTGTATGAAATATTGTTACTCATAAAAAATAAATATATATAAACCATTCGTATTCATTTATATAAACCATTCCAATTAAACCATTACAATTCATTTATATAAACCATTCCAATTCATATATATAAACCATTCCAAATCATATATTTAAACCATTCCAATTCATATATATAAACCATTCCAATTAATATATATAAACCATTCCAAATCATTTATATAAACCATTCCAATTCATTTATATAAACCATTCCAATTCATGTATATAAACCATTCCAATTCATATAAATAAACCATTCCAATTCATATATTTAAACCATTCCAATTCATATATATAAATCATTCCAATTCATTTATATAAACCATTCCAGTTAAACCATTCCAATTCATATATATAAACCATTCCAATTCATTTATATAAACCATTCAAATTCATTATATAAACCATTCAAATTCATTTATATAAACCATTCCAATTCATTTATATAAAACATTCCAATTTATTTATATAAACCATTCAAATTCATATATATAAACCATTCCAATTCATTTATATAAACCATTCCAATTAAACCATTCCAATTCATTTATATAAACCATTCCACTTCATGTATATAAACCATTCAAATTCATTTATATAAACCATTCCAATTCATATGTATAAACCATTCCAATTCATATATTTAAACCATTCCAATTCATATATATAAACCATTCCAATTCATATATATAAACCATTCCAAATCATTTATATAAACCATTCCAATTCATTTATATAAACTATATCAATTAAAACATTCCAATTCATTTATATAAACCATTCCAATTCGTATATATAAACCATTCCAAATCATTTTTATAAACCATTCCAATTCATTTATATAAACCATTCCAATTCATATATATAAACCATTCCAATTCATATATATAAACCATTCCAATTCATTTATATAAACCATTTCAATTCATATATATAAACCATTCCAATTAATTTATACACAACGAAACAAAAGTGATACTTGACTAACAGGGGGCTACGTCTGCAGGTACAAAGACTCACTCTTGTACAGACAAAAGAGGTGGAGTAGTCCACCAGATACAGTAGCCATTTGAGCAATCTCAAATGCATAAAAGTGAGTGTAAAGAAATGTGTACGGGACTCGGGTGGTGTCCCCCTATAGCTAGCAGGTATGGAGACGTGACTAACAGGGGGACTACATCTGCAGGTACAAAGATACAGACACACTTCAGACAATAAATCTATAATGTAGACTATATATATACACAATATACATTTATGACAAAATATATACATAACTGAATTGGGGGGAAAAAATCCCCAAGAATTTAATGCCAAAAAAGAATGCAGTGTTTTGAAAAAAAAAAAATGATATACCAGCATGTA